ATGCAGGGAAGCCAAAGGAAGCTCACAGAGAGATGGGGAGGGAATTGGAAGACGTTTGGTGGGAAATAAAGCATTGGTGGGCTGCAGGGAACAAACCGGCTTGCAGGTGTGTCCTTGGCCAAACTCAGAAATAGAACCACCTGATAAAAAGGTATTATCAGAGCTGGGAGTGGGTGGGAGCAGGGACTGCAGGGAAACGGGCTCCAGGGAAAAACTGCCTGTGTGCTTTGGGTGGCCCTCCCTGCCCCTCCTGTGAGCAAGAGCCCTCAGAACCAGGGGAGCCCCCACGTCCACATGCATGCTTCCTCTCAAGGCAACAGGTTACAGAAGCGCCTTCTCGAATGATGACATAGGCAGCAAATAGGAAAAGCTACTCAACCGAAATCGTGATTTCTCAGCTCCAGCGGGTGCTGCCTTCTTGGATGGAGCCCTGCAGCTGCTTGCCACCCCCCCACCGGGAGTTTGGGGGCCAAAGGAGAAATCTGGTTCCTCTTTTGCTTCATGTGGCCCCTCCCCTCTGCCAAGGGCAGGCCTCCAAAATTCACATGGTATTCTCTCTGTGTGTTTGTGTCCAAATTCCCCCCTTTTATTTTTTTTTTAATGTTTAAAAAAGATTTTATTTATTTGACAGCGAGAGAGCACAAGTAAGGGGAGCGAGAGAGGGAGAAGCAGACTCCCCGACGTGGGGCTCAATCCCAGGACCCTGGGATCATGACCTGAGCTGAAGACAGACACTTAACTGACTGAGCCACCCAGGTGCCCCCAAATTCCCCCCTTTTAATAAGGATGACAATCATATAGGATTAATGGTGCCCTTATTCCAGAGTGATCTTATCTTAGCAAATCACATCTGTAATGACTACATTCTGAGGTACTGGGAGTTAGAGCGTCAACATATAAATTTTGTAAGGATGACAATTCGACCCATAATAATAATTATGGATACCTGCTTAATGCCAAGGGCTGTGAATTACTGTATAATTCTCATGATAAGACCTGTTGAGGTATAGATTTGTATTATCTCCACTTTCCCTTAGGGAAAACAGGAGCTCAGAAAGGTTGAATAACCGGCCTGAGGTCACCCAGCTAGTGAGCTGAGGGCCACGAGACCACAGAGTCCAAATACCCCACCACCCTGCTTTGTTGCCTGGACCCACTTTCTCATCCAACAAGTGCCAGATCCAGGGTCTTAAGATGAAGCTGTGAACTCTACAGGTTTTGATTCTGGGTTTGTTTTGGAAGCAGAGCAGGTGGTGGAAACCAGCAGGGTTTTTCTTTTTTAACTTCAATGCTATGGCCAAGTCCATTCCTGACAACCACACAAACTTACTGTGAAGAATAAGGAGCAAGAAGGACTTACGTGAATTCCGTTTCCCCTGACTTGAAAAAGCAGTCTCTCCACTTCTCGAAGGAATGAGGCCCATTCCATGAGCTGCTGCTGACCCAGGTCAGGCTCGTGGGGCCCAGGTGACACTCGGCGAAAGTTCACTCAGAGACTTAATGCTGCGCCGAGAAAGTCAGTTTGGAAAAACAGCTGTTTCTGCAAGATGCAGCTATTTACAGCTACCCAGGCCGATGAGCAATGCCGGGAGCCAAAGTTAATTGCCAATCAAACGAACAAAAATGTCTTTCTCAAGTTTATTAGGTCCCAATGCCATTTTAACAGACTGTCAAAATCTCAGGAAGAAGAAAACAAATTGGGAAGTCCTTTTCGATAGGCGGCTGCCTCACAGGGTGGGATGAAACAGTGTCCATATCTTTGGAAGCAAGGGAATAAAAACTTTGGAAAGGCCACGGGATTTACTGCGTACTGACTGTCAGCTTTGCTGCAGCAGGCCTTCCTGCGCTTTGAGGTTTGCTTCCACAACAGTTCTGGAAGGCGCTGGATTCGTCTCCTGGGGCTGCGTCACCACAAACATAGTGGTTGCAAGAAACACAATCTCCTACAGCTCTGAGGACAGAAGTCTAAAACACGTCTCGGGGGCAAAAATCACAGTGGTCGGCAGGGCTGTGATCCTTCTGGGGGCTCCAGGCAAGAATCTGTTCCTAGCCTGTCCAGCTTCCGGAGGCCACCTGTTGCCTCGTGGCTCCTTCCTCCACCAAAGCCAGGAACTGCCACTCCAACCTCTGCTTTTGTCCCCGCATCTCCTTCTCTGACTCTGACCCCTGCCTCTCTCTTTCACTTTGAAGGACCCTAGTGATGACACCGGGCCACCTGGTTAATCCAGGATAACCTCCCTATCTCCAGATCCTTAACGTCTTCCCACCTGCAAAGCCTCTTTTGCTGTGTAAGGTGACATACTCGTGCTTCCAAGAATCAGGACGGGGACACTGGGGGACCAGGATTCTGCTTACCACAGGTAGGCCCGGTTATGTCCATTTTAAAGATGACAAATAAATTCAGGGATGTTGGGCAATTTTCACCAGGCCACTCAGCTAGTAGATGGGTGGTTAGGATTTGAATTCAAAGCTGCCGGCCCCACAGCCTCAGCTCTTTCTCCCCTGAACACGTTGTTCCATCTCAGACTCCCAGCCTCATGCTGGAGTTAATCTCGAGGTACTCCGGGGATGAGGGTGAAGGCCACCATGTTAAGAACTACTCCCAGTGGACTATTCTGCATCTCCAGTTCCTTTAGATGAAACACTGGGAGGGCTGCAGATGACTGGGGCCGTGTGCACGGGACCAGTGGACAGGTTCCCCAGCACACTGCCCTTGGCTTCACCTGGCTAACGCCTGCTGGACCTTCAGTGCTCGCCTTCCTGGGCCCTCTTCCAGGAAGCCCTCCCAGGAGAGTTCATCCCAGTGTTGCACGTGGTATGTGTCTGTTTCTGGATCTTTCTCTCTAGAACACGACAACTTCACTGGTGACCTCCAGACACAAGCAGGATATGGGTGTGGAATGAATGCAGGCATGAATGAATGACGCCTCCATGAGAGCTATGAAGCTGCCACTCCCCACAGTGGGCCCACACACGGCAGTCCCTGCTTCTCTAGAACACATGTTCCAGGTGACTGTGGTCCATCGTGCTCCACACTTGAAGGCAGCAGCAGGTCGACTCCCCGTCTGAGTTTACAAAGGTCCTCTCTATGGGCAAGGGCAGTGCCCTTTTACTTATTTATTTATTTGAGCGAGAGGGTGTGCATGAGCTGGGGGGGAGGGGCAGAGGGAGAGAACCTCAGGCAGAGTCCCTGCTGAGCGTGGAGCCCCATGTGTGGCTCAATCCCAGGACCCCGAGATCATGACCTGAGCTGAAATCAAGAGTCTGATGCTCAACTGACCGAGCCACCCAGGCAAGGGGCAGTGTCCTTATTACTGAAATGGGGAAACTGAGGCAGAGAGCTGTTGAATAATTACCCCAGGGTCACACAGCTCAAAAGGGACGGAGCAGGGATCAGAATCCAGGCTCTGCCATCCAGGCTCTGAGGGGACATGCTCCAGAGCCCTGCCCCGCAGACAGCGGGGAGAGAACTGACCGTACAGCCAATTTCTGAAGAGCCGCAGAGCCTGCATGGCTGGTGTTCAGTCACAGGGGCGATGATCAGCATGCTCTTACACTTCAACAAAACATGTCTCAGACAAGAATGAAGGAAAGTAAGACGGAAAGCAAGTCTGGCACGGGGTCATGTGAACAAAAGCAGGGTGACTACTGCGCACAACAGAACACACCCGTGCACAGAAAAGCCAAGGGGAGATTTTGCCAAATGTATGTATGTTTGTAGATTTCTTCTTCGGTTCTTCCTGCTTTTCTGAATTGTACACATGTACCCTAATGAGCTCATGATGATTCCTTACAACAACAAAATACTTTACCGACCCCCGACCCCCAAACAAACCCTGTTGTTTCCCACCATTTCCATTCCAGACTGTGCGTTTCCATGGATCAACGTAAGCATGCATAGCCTCATCGGGGGTGAAAATGAGAATTTTGTGAAACTCCCAGATTGTGAAATGGTGAGATATTTTCCTCTAACAAAAAGACCGTGAGTGAAAGGAGGAGACGCACGTCAGTCCTCAACACTTTCCCCACACCCATCTTTAGAAGCATCTTGTTAGAATGACCCATTAGGAGCAAGGAGCAAAATAAAGCATTCTGTCAAAAGCAAGTTAGAAATGGGACTGGAAGTCTCTGCATGTCTTTGCTGCATCAATCCTGTCAGCAGAAGTCGGTGCAAGGGAGGAAATAAATGAGCTCCTCCATGAAGGTCTGAGAACCTCACTCTGATTCTACCCTCCTCTCTATCCTTTGGAAAGGAGCCCCGTCGTGGACGGTGTGCCTACAGTGTGAGGCAAGACCACACACCTACGAGTAGAAGAGAATCAGACATCTAAAGGGGGAAACTGAAGCTCAGAGAGGTTGAGAGCGTTGTCCAGCATCTCACAGCCAAGAAATTCCAGAGCCAGGATTCAAATCTAGTCTGGTCTGATGGCCCCAACCTGTGCAGTTTCTGTGAAATTCTGAAGTCTCCTAACTCCCTCCCTGCAGTATGTTTATTGTGTATCTCTGAGGTTGAGAAAGGAGGATGAACTCTGCGTCTTCCTTTGGACACTTCTGCTGACTATTAAAGTCACACTCTGTTACACTGATCGACTGGAATGTCCTTTCTCCTTTCCTTTGCCTGCAAACTCCTACATATTCGAGGTAGAAAGATGACAGCTAATGGTTTGGAAATATTTTAAAGCCATGGCAATGGACCTTAGGCTCACAGGGACACCGATTTGGACCCCCAGGGAGAAATGGCCCTTTTTACTGGGTGCTCCATCATCTGTGACCAGGTGAGAGTTCAAAGAAGGGAGCAATATATTAAAAGAAAGACAATAGGTAGGAGAGCAAAATATAGATAATATTCTCCAGATAGGTGAAACATCTTAAAATTCCGACACCTTCGGAGTGACAAAGGACATGCTCCTTTAAAGGCAAGCACGTTTGTTCCCTGGGGGGTCCCATGGCACTGTTCACCCCACTATGATGTTCTCAGGAATAACCCTCAGTTTACTTACAGAGAAGATAGCGGCCAAAGTCTCGATGCCACCGGTGCTCAAGGTGATGTATGGGATCTTTTCTGGCGAGATCCCAGCTTTTTCAAAGATGCTATTGGTGTAGAACCAAATCTATAATGCAGGAAAGAAAAACAAGGGAGAGTCGGTGAAAGGCATCTATCTCCAAAATTAAATTCAGGTGCAAGGTGGTCTCTGAGATTTGCTGCTACATCCAGCATGGAGCTGTGTGGTGTGGCCAACTATTTGTTTTCTTCCTTCTCCCACCTTTGCCCCTTCCTCATTACTAACAGACCTACCATACTGGGAGCAACACGTGCTGAGCTAATTGTGGCAATGAGATAGGAACAGAAATCTCCTTAAAATGAGCTTTCCACCAACGAGGTGTGATCCCATTTTTTGCCCTTCCTCCTTTCTGCTGTCAGGATGGTGAACATGATGGCTGGAGCTTCAGCAGCCCTCTTGGATCACTAGGTGACCTCAGGACAGCATGGTAGCGCCCATGGTAACTTTGTGAGAAACTGAAAAGGTTCCTGATCTACAAGACACTTTACTGTCATCCACTAGAAAACTGTTACAATAAATTTCTTTCTTTTTTTTTTAAAGACTTTATTTATTTATTTGAGAGAGAGAATGAGATAGAGAGAGCATGAGAGGGGGGAGGGTCAGAGGGAGAAGCAGACTCCCTGCCGAGCAGGGAGCCCGACGCGGGACTCGATCCAGGGACTCCAGGATCATGACCTGAGCCGAAGGCAGTCGCTCAACCGACTGAGCCACCCAGGCGCCCTACAATCAATTTCTAATGGGGACAATGTGAATGATGCCCTGAGGGTTGTGCAACATACAAACTACACAACTACACACAGAGCCCCTGCTTTGGGATGGGAGCCACCTGTTCAGAAGCTAGAGCGAGAAGTTAGAAGGAGCCTGTGTCCTTGCTCACCAGAGTGATTCTATAATTGATTAACCAAACCTGGGCACCTTTGAGAGTGTTAATAATTCGTTCGGAACAAGAGGCATAAATCTGGATTGCCCTGGGCAAACCAGGATGTGTGGTCCTGGGACTGCTGTACCACCCTTCCCAATTTTCCTCGATGTGAAGTTAGGTCAGTGTGGAGGATTCTGCCACTTGAGACCAAACCTAACCCTAATGACACTCATGGGGCATCGGGCAATCACTGACTGGAGGTTGGAGACCTGGCTCCGTGTTGAACTGGCTGTGTGACCTCAAGTAATTCACTCTGTCCTGCTGGGCTTCTTTCCCCTTCTCCAAGAGGATAGCCATGCCCCTCCTGTGGAGTATCCAGATTGGGTAAGAATTGTCACTGTTCACTATTTACTTAAAATTTCGGGTCCATAGGCTGGACACGAGCCATTTGTGTCCTCCCAATCCCGGCCATTTTCTTAAAGAGCACGAGTTTGTTAAATATAGAAAACCAAGCTGTCCTTTACATGACATCTGACGAGGAAACCCGCCGCCTTCGGGGGCCTTGGAAGCATTTACACCCTGATCGTTATTAAGCAGAAACATTAGAGCTCGTTGCTTATAACTTGTCAGGCCCGATGGTGGCTGGCCACGCTCCTTGCATTTGGCTCTTACTTCGTTTTTGGAAAAAGCTCTCATTTCTACAAATTTGTCTTCTTACCGGCATTTGTTTAGCAAAACATTTTTCATGCACTGGGGGAGAAGATATAATTTAGGAACTACACATATCTATAGATGGCTTATCTTTTAGTGAGGGGAGTATCTTCTTAAAGTTACAGGCACACTCAGAGGCCAGTAAAAACGACTGCATGTATTTCTGTGAGCTTGCTGGCATGGACGCATCTCTCGGCAAAATGCGTTTCAAGCTTCTCATAAAACAAAGACCCTCTTGCCGGTGTCTGCCCCACATTTGACTGAGCTGATAAATTAGAATTTTAGATTCTACCTTTGCTTCCACATTCACCAAGTACAGAAGTGGCTCCTGATAAATTCATTCTTAGGGCTGTGACAGAAGCTAAAATTGTTCCAGAAAACCCCAATCTTCACCAGATTTGTTTGTATAATCTCCTCCCCTTTGGAAAGTAACTGTGATCTTCAGAGTTGGATCAAAGGGGCTTAAACACCTTTCTTAATCTTTACCCAGATTCACTGATTTTTAATAGCCAAGGCTCTATGGGCCCCTTCCATCCCCCAGAATACTCTGCTGCCTCAGTCTGAACCCAGGGCTGCCAGCCCCTGGTTGATTCCACAGGGTACGTGCTCTCCTGTGGGAGCTGTGCGTGCCCTGGCCTCCCCCCGTGGCCTCCTTCCTGCTCCTCACACCCCATGCAACCTTCCCTGCTTCCAATTCTTCCTGAAACCCCTCAGGTGTTTCAAGGTTAGTGAAGAGGGTCGCACTGCATAAAATTACACCCTCATTGGGGGGGGTGCTAATGAAAGTGGCTCTGGAGTCATTTCATAGTAAATGCATTTATCCCTTGAGAGGCAGAAATCAGCCCTTTGGACCATCTCCCCCATTCCAGGGCTTGCGAGGAGGTCCTGCTGGGCTGGTCCCAGGAAGGGGGTGGGGAGGAGGCCTGCCCAACACACAAATTGCCTGTCTCCTTCTGCCGGCTCCAGAAGCCATTTCTCTCTGGCTGAGTCATCTTATAGAGCAGGTGGGTAACGGCCTCTGTCTCTATCCCACTGAGGTTTACGTGATCTGGCAGTTCGAGGGTGTTACACACTATGGAAGCACCGGGAAAGGTGGGGTGTGTCCCGCAGCAAACCCTCCCCGAGGAGTGTGCTTTGTGTTGATCTCATCCATGACACCATCACGCTCTCAGGTTGCTGACAGTCTCCTCCCTCGGGGGCGGACGGTGGACTGGAAGGAGCCACAGTTTGGAGTGAACACCGGATTCCAACCCAGGGCTGCCTCTGGGGAACTGTGGGTCTGTAGGCAAGGGACTACATGTCTCTAAAGAAGGTAAAAAAAATCTGTCTTTCAGGGTGGTTGTAAAAATGTTTAAAGTGACAAAGTAAAGCATCTTTAAAAGATTTTATTTATTTTAGAGAGCGAGCTCGTGTGCGAGAGTGGGGGGAGGGGCAGAGGGGGAGGGAGAGGGACAAGCAGACTCCGCACTGAGCGTGGAGCCCAACGTGGGGCCCGATCTCAAGACCTTGAGACCATGACATGAGTCAGGCGCTTAACCCACTGAGCCACCCAGGTGCCCCAATCATCTTTTATAGAATTGGTACATAACAAATGGGGGGGTATCATTCTAGAAGATTTCCATCTCTCTACTGAGACACCATGGCTCTTTGGTAAAGGAAAATGTCAGTTATGCACATGCCTTGGGGAGGAAGGCCTTCTGGGGCTGCTTCTCAGCCTGCTTCTTGACTGCCTGCCTCCGGGGCCCCAAAGCCCTCCTTCCTAACTCCTGACACAGTGTGTTAGAGACTAGCATAACACACATCATCATTTTCAACTCTCTCAACAGCTTGTGAAGGTGACATTGCCTTAGGATCAGAGAGACCACACACAGCCAGTAAGACCAGAGCCGGGTGCAGACCCAGGCCTGTTTGCTTCCGGCCCCACGGCTCTTCCACTGCTCGGGCTATGCTGGGGCTGTCCGTGCCCCTGGCTGACTGGAGATTCCTCTTCGATCCATCATTCCCCCCCCCACCCCCGTAACCAGGAGGCTCCTGGCCGGTGAGAGACAGAACATTCGCACAAAAGTCTGGTTTTCATGCAAAGGACAAACTGCTCAGGAGGAAGGCAGTTGCAGAAAATAAGGAATTTTAAGTGACAGGTCTAATTTTAGAAGAGGCAATTTGAAAGCCATTGTGAGGAGGAGGGAAAAAACAACCCCACACTGAAAAGGAATTTAGAAACAACTAAATGTTAAATCCAACTTCCGCTTGATTTCTAAGGTATGCGGAAACTATTCATTGACTTCTTGGCGAAAATGCCCTGGGCAATATGTAATGTTCGCTTAATGTGGTGATTGTCACCTGGGGGTAATTTTCCCCCCAGGGGACATTTGGCAATGTCTGAAGACATTTTTGGTTGTCACAACTGGTGGGGTAGCCTACTGTCATCTGGTGGGCTGAGGCCAGAGATGCTGTGGAACGTTCTATAGTACACAGGACAGCCCCCCATGAAAGGGATTTTCCGGCCCCAAATGTGCATAGTGCTGAGGCTGTGAATGTCTCGGTTAGTGCAGGCACCTGGGCCTTAGAGAAAGGCTGGCCAAGCCTGGGCAGGTGCTTGGCCCTCTGGAAACCTCATTTCTTCTTCTAGAAAATGAGGATGGCCCCATTTGCCCTGCAGGACATTTGGGGCTGGAATGAAGTGATCAATGGGGAGATTCCTAGCAGTATTTGCAATGTCTTCAACTACAGACCATGTCCCCCCAAATAATTTCTGAGACAATTAAGGGAAGAAAGCAAGTTTTAAAGGGCATTTGAAGTTTTCCATCTGGTAGACAGCATTCCTCCTTGTCTCACGCATTATTTGGACTGAGAGGCAAGAGGTGCAGGGGAGAACTGGACTGAAGCACAGGACTCTGAGGCTGAGGTGGCTGCCAGCCACTGTTTGTCCTTTTGTATGTAAAAGAGAGGGTGTCAGACTTGTTGCATTGGCTGCCTAGGGATGACCTTGGGACACAGCCCAGGGACACATATGGGGATGCTCGAAGGGGGCCTTAGGGACCCTCCCCGCTCAGGGCTCAAGCGGCCAGACCTTGTGGCCAAGTGGCTGGGGCTCAAATCCCCTTTCTACCACTTGTAGCTGTGTGACCTAGGGAAAGTCTCAACGTCTCTGTGCCCAACAGTGGTGTCTGACTCACAGGACAGACACAGGGACACCTTCTGGCTCACGTTAGTGCTAAATGAATGTTTGCTTTATTATTATTACAGCCGAGCAGGCAGAGGCTGGGGGAGGGTAGTGATTGGCCTAGGCTTCCCACTGCAGGCCTGTGGTCACACTGAGACAGACAGCCAGGCCTCTGGATATGGGTCCAGAGCTTTTTGCTCCATGTCCAGTTAAGCATGCCAAGTGGGAAGTATTACTTCTGACTTAAAGATTAAAAATAATCCTAAACAAACAATAAATAGAAGGAGAATACCTGAACATAATAAAGGCCATACATGACAAGCCCAGAGCTAACATCATACTCAGCTAATATCATATCATAATATCATCATACTCATCAAACTGAAAGCTTTTCCTCTAACATCAGAAACAAGACAATGATGCCCACTCTCACCACTTCTAGTCAACATAGTACTGGAAGTCCTAGCCGGTGCAATTAGAGAAGAAAAAGAAAGAAAAGTCACCCAAAGCAGAAAGGAAGAAGTAAAATCATCACTGTTTGCAAATGACACGGTCTTAAATGTAGAAAACCCTGAAGATAGCGCACACACACACACATTGTTAGAACTAATAAATTCGGTAAAGTTGCAGGATACAGAATCAACATACAAAAATCAGTTGTGTTCTGGGCACCTGGGTGGTTCAGTCGTTAAGCGTCTGCCTTCAGCTCAGGTCATGACCCCAGGGTCCTGGGATCGAGTCCCGCATCGGGCTCCCTGCTCAGCAGGAAGCCTGCTTCTCCCTCTCCCACTCCCCCTGCTGGTGTTCCCTCTCTCGCTGTGTCTCTCTTTGTCTCTGTCAAATAAATAAATGAGAAAATAAAAATCTTTGAAAAAAATAAAAATCAGTTGTGTTTTTATATACTAACAATGAACCATCTGAAAGGGAAATTATGAAAATAATTGTATTTACAATAGCATAAAAAAATACTTGGGAATAAAGTTAACTAAGGAAACGAAAGACTTTTGCACTGAAAACTAAAAAGCACTAAGGAAATAAATTAAATACACAAATAAATGGAAAAATACTCCATTCATGGACTAGGAGATTTAATATTATTAAAATGGCCATACTACCCAAAATGATCTACAGATTCAATGCCATCCCTATTAAAATCCCAATGGCATATTTTCCAGAAATAGAAAAAAATCCTAAAATTCCCCTGGAACCATATCTTTAAAAAGAACAAAACTGAAGGCATCATATTACAAAGCAACAGTAATTAAAACAGCGTGATACTGAAATAAAGACAGACATATAAACTAAGGAAACAGAATAGAGATACCAGAAATAAACCCATATGTGGTCCACTGATTGCCAAAGGGTGCCAAGAATATTCAATGGGGAAAGGATAGTCTGGCATATAGTGTTGGAAAAATTGGATACCCACATACAAAAGAATGAAAATGGATGCTAATCTTCACTCAAAATGGATTAAGATTTTAAACACAAGAACTGTAAAAATCCTAGAAGAAAACATAGGGGAAAAACTTTGTAACATTGGTCTTGGCAATGATTTTTTTTTTGGAGATGACACCAAAAGCAAAAATCAACAAGTGTGACTACATCAGACTAAAAAGTTTCTTCACGGTAAAAAAAAATAATCGACAGAGTGGAAAGGCAATCTACAGCATGGGAGAAAGTATTGGCAAACCATATATCTGATAAGGGGTTAATCACCAAAATATATAAGGGACTCCTACATCTCAACAGCAAAACAAAAAAAGATAAAACAAAACCCCCCAAAGCCTCCAAACAACTCCATTAAAAAATGGGCAAAGGACTTGAACAGACATTTCCCAAAGAAGACCTACAAATGACCAACAAACACATGAAAAGACACTTGACATCACTCAGCATCAGAGAAACGTAAATCGAAACTACAGCAAGATATCACCTCACAGCTGTTAGGATGTCTACCATGAAAAAAAAAAAGGTGCTGGTGAGGATGTGGAAGAATTAGAACCCTTGCACACTGTCAGTGGGAATGCAAACTGGTGCAGCCGCTCTGGAAAATGGTATGGAGGTTCCTCAAAAAATCAGAACTGCAATATGAGTCAGCATCCCACTTCTGGGTTTTTATCCAGATCGAAATCAGGATCTCGAAGAGATATCTGCACACCCATGTTCAATGCAGCACTATTCACAGTAGCCAAGGTGTGGAAATATCCTAAACGTTTGTCAATGGACTAATGGATAAAGAAAATGTGGTATGTGTACGCATGATGGAGTATTATCCGGCCTTGAAAAGGAGGGATATCCTGCAGCATGTGACCGCATGGATGAACCTGGTGGACACCATGCCGAGGGAAAAAGCTGATCGCCAATACTGTACGCTTGCACTTTCGTGAAGTATCTAAAGTAGCCAAACTCATAGAAGCAGGGAGCAGAGTGGTGGTTGCTAGGGGCTGTGGGAGGAGGAAATGGGGGGCTGCCAATCAACAGGTGCAAAGTTTCAGTGAAGCAAGATATATACGCTCTGCAGATGGGCTGTAGGACACTGTGTCTACAGTTCACAATCCGGCGTTGCGCACCTGAACGTTTGTTAAGGAGGTAGATCTCACATTAAATGTGCTCACGACAATAGCAAAACAGATGAAAGGCAGTCACTATGAGGAGGGTGGGATACCTGGAAGCTGAGACCTCCCCAATCCCAGCCCTTGGAGCAGATGAGATGGTTTCTCCCCATCCCATGCTGATGCAGTGGGGTTTACAGATACACCCTAGTGGGATTTATATAGGAAGTTATATAGGGAATGCAAATTGGAAAATTATATCCCGGGAGAGGAGAGAATTCTGTTTAGAAATGTCATGGTTCTCAATCCAAATGCCTCATTAAATACAGATTCCATATGTGGCTTTTACTACTCTAAATGTTAGCTCTAAGAAATGGATCTGCCCCCTCTCTACCTTCTCAGAACAGGGAGGGAGGCTTTGAGCCTGGAGGTGCAAAGAGGAGGAAAGGGCAGCCCCTGTCCAAGGCCGTGCCCTTGGCCCAGGCCCCTCCTCCTCCTGCTGACTTTAACCAGACCAAGGAAAAAGGTAAAAACAGGTAAGTTGCAAGATGATTTCATTTCATCCCAATGTTTCCAAAAATAGAATCAAGAGTAGTTGAAATGCGGCAAAACATGATGGTTGGAACTTTCCATGCTGTCACCTTTCCCTCTCCGGACAGGGACGCCTCTGCTTCTATGTCATCTCCCCAAACACGCCCCAAACCCCCTCCCTGCTGACTTTCAGGGGATGCCAGGCTCATGAATGCAGCGGAGCTGTTTTGTCTGGGGCTCTGTGGAAGGTCCCCCTTATCCTGTTGAAATCAGCCCAACCAAGAGTACTTTTATTTAAATCATCTTTCACTGACAACTTCCTAATACCCATTTTAGTAAGAAATCTGAGTTTTGGGGATCAGAAATTATAATGGTAGGCAGCATTTATTAAGGGGCAACTTTGTAGCTGCTGCATTGAACACTCTGCATGGATTATTTCTTTCAGTATTACGTCAGCCCATTTTACAGATGAGGAAACTGAGAATGGATCAGACTGTGGGATTGCCCGATGGCGCAGAGCTGGTGGAGGTAGCAGAGCTGGGACCGGATCCTGGTACTGAGGCCCAAGCCCTGCCCCACCTTGCCCTCCCCTCCCTCTAGTTCCTCCCTTTGCGCAGGGATGCTCACCGCATTGAGACCGCAGAGCTGGTAGCAGGCCATGGTGATGACCACAGTGAAGACCTGCCAGCGCACGAGGGGACTCCGGAGCAGCTCCAGCACGGACACCAGCTGGACATTCCTCTGCACGCGGCTCTCCATCAGGACCTCCTCCACCTCTCGGGAGACATCCTCTTTGCCCAGGAAAGTCTGGAAGGCTGCAAACAGGGGCAATCACAGATTTTTAGCAGGGATCAGGATGTTTGCCGAGTCTGACACTGGGCTCTGCGGGGATAGTTCCACCACCCAGACCCACACATTGTCAGGGAGATAGCTGGCAGGGGCCTTTGAAACCATGAAATTCTACGCCTTTGTTTGGAAATAGGAAAACGGAGGCCCAGAGATGTGCGGTGATGTGCCCAAGGTCACCTGGTTGGCTAGGAGAAGAGCCAGGAGAGAACAGGAGTCTCCTGATTGCCCCCAGAGGGAAGAGGAGCACATCCAGGGATCCAGTCCCATTGCGATCACAGAGCATCAGTCCATTGTTTGTAACCATTCCTGCCTCACATGGCTCTGTTAGTAATGGGATGATGTATACACACTAACCCCTAGCTCAGAGCTTCGCACATAGGAGGTGTTCTTTTGATAAATATTTATTCAGCGCCTCCCATCTGCCTGGCCCTGGGTGCTCATCCTTGTTGGAGGTATTCAGATGGTCAGACTGCCTGCCACTTGGCCAGGATGCTGGGAGTAGATTCTATCATTGGGAGGAGAACTGAACTAAATGCCCTCCAAGGCCCTTTCCATATGACCCTGGGGAACACAGGAACCTGGGTGGACATATTCTCAAAGAGCTAGTCTTCCCAGGATTCAAAATTACCCTTGTGACTTATGCCTTTTCCAGGCTGAACACTGCAAATTTCCAGCCTCAGGGAACCTGCCATTTGTTACTAAGCCCTTAATTGTGCAAACCTCCATGTATATAGATGCAAAGGGGGGCGGGCTGATTAGACCCCTGAGATCATGATAATCAGATAATAGGAGACACTTTTAGAACACGAATTTAAATATCCAGTGCTCTAGTATCTATCCTCCTACAGAGAGAGGTGGCTTTGGTGACGGCTCCTGTGGACAGTCCATCCCAGACACAGTGGGCATCATCCTTGAAAACACTGCTCTGCACTGCAGGGCATGTGAAATTGCTCTTCTTAAGTAGCAGGAAAATAAAGGCTATTAAACTTGCTCCAGATTCTACAAAAAGCAAGCCCATGAAGCCTCTGGGATGTTATTTCCAGTAGTACACTGAAAACGGCTTCAGAATCTTTCTTTTGTAAGTGATGATTTAATACTTTTCTTAGTATTTTATTATGGATAAATGGAAGAAGTAGCCAAATGAGTGACGTTTCCACATCATTCACTACACCATAGTATTGTTAACACTGTCTCAAAGTTCAAAACGCAACACTCATTTGATAAAGTCATCCTAAAGTTTTAGGGCAGAAAAATATTTCTTTCTCCTTCCTGACATACATGCTTTCCATGTAAAATAAAGAGAAATTTATAGCCTATTTTTTTTTCCTTTCCCACCTTGGCTGCCAGGAAGCTCTCGGCTAAATTTGATGCTCAGCTCTTTAACAGAGTTTCCTGGAACAAAATCTCTCTTCTTTCCTAAAAGCTGTGATCTCCTTCTTTTAAAGCATTGATTTAATTACCTGCTGTATATGTGTTCATAAAAATAGTTTCTACTTGCTCCACATCCTTTATTTTTTTAAAGATTGATTTATTTATTTTAGAGAGAGAGAGTGTGGGGGTGGGGGGGCAGAGGGAAAGAGAATCCCAAGCAGACTCCCCTCTAAGCACAGAGTCCGATGCGGAGCTCAGTCCCAGGACCCTGAGATCATGACCTGAGCCAAAATCAAGAGTTGGACGCTTAACCGACTGAGCTACCCAGGTGCCCCTCCACACACCCCTCTTCAAGTTTCCTGTGATTGGGTGAAGAAGAGTATCTGGTGAGGGAGAGTATCATGGCAGACATGGAGATGCACCACTCACTGATGGATGAAGAGGGCAGGAAGGGGGCGGGCGGCCTCCTGTGATAAATCCTAATGCCATCCTCTCTCCGGAGGCCACACTCCTGCGGTCAAGTGGAGACATGGCCTCGCATCCTCCACTGCCTCAGCTTCTAGGCCCACCTGAGCTGGGCCTGACCGCCGTCCGGGAGGCTCGGGGGACGGGGATGGGGAGGGAGGTTGGCACTGCCAGGCCCTGCTGACTGGCGGACAGTTGAGTTTCAGGCTCCCCAGGCTGATGCTCAGGAGCACACAACCCTTGGGGGAGAAGCACTGGCTTTTTTAAGGGACAGTCTCAGGGCCCCACCCAGGCCCAATTCTCGGCACGTACGAGCTCCAGGCAGTGTGCCAAGTACAGCAGCTGGAGGGACAGAAGCTACAGACCCTGCACAGGCAGTGTCCTCATCGGTCACCCACTTTTCCTAACGTGCATTCTGTGGAATGCCGATTCCCAGAGAAGCTCCGTGGAATAAAATGCCTTGGTCAAAGAAGTTTAGTAGCATTGTACACTCTATCTCTTGGTTCAAATGTCACGTTAATTACATAATAAACGTTCTGATAAGTCCTGCATAAAGACACCCATTTAATTTTTGTTTTGCTCCACATTTCCTGCATATATTTGCTGGAGCACCTACTCACAACCTGCAGAGGATCGTCAAGAAATTTTGTTCTAATTCTATGTGACATGTGTCACAGTGGGAGTGAATCCAGGATGTCCCCATGGCCTGGAGGAAGAATCCCAATGGAGGACATGGATCAGAGAGTAGAGGCAAATATCACATCATGAAAAGCAGAAAGAGCCCAAATGTCCTCCCAAATAAATCCATATTCTAGTCCCCAGAACCTGCTCATGGGTTAGCTGATATGGCCACAGGGGCTTCGCAGATATGATCGAGTTAAGGATCCTGTGATGGGGAGGTTATCCTGGATTATTTGGGTGGGCTCAATGTTGTTATGAGGATCCCTGTAAGAGGGAGACAAGAGGTCAGAGTTGGAGAAGATGTGTTAGAAACAGAGAATGGAGGGGATGCACTTTAAAGATGGATGAGGGGTCATGAGCCAAGGAATGGGGGTGCCTCTGGAAGCTGGAGACCTTGTAACACCTCGGTTTTAGCCCAGTGAGACCTCTTTTGGAGTTCTGACCTCCAGAACTGTAAGATAATAAATTGGTTTGTTTTTTTTTTAAAGGAACTGCTGAAAAATCTTGCTTCAGATAAGGCGTGACCCAGCAGCTCAAACTAAATCACTAAGTAAGTACCAAATTTCTTTCACGTATTCCTGTATCGTTTTAAGCCACTAGGTTTGTGGTAATTTGTTAGAACAGCCAAAGAAAACTAACACAGAGCCATTTTAATTAGACAGAGGTAGCTCCCCCCCAACTCCCACCACTCACTTTCGGTGTGATATGGGAAAATCATCTGATCTCTCAGGCCTTAGAGTGCTCCTCTTGCCAGGTGGGGCTGACCTCAGCCCACCTATGTCTCTGGTCATTATGACAGCTCCTCAGGGCAAGGATGCAGAGCAGTAGCCCAGAGCCTGGCTCACTGCGGATGCAACACCCATAATGTCCCCTTGCATGGACGAGTGACGCCAGCATCATGCAAAATCTAAAAAGGGCAAATTTGGGGTGTGTCTGCCCAGTGCTGTCTGAGGTCTAGGAGGAAGGGCTGGAAGGGACAGGGACCACAAACTCCGAGTAGCCACAAACCCAAGGTTTAAGCTCTAGAACCAGGCTGCTAGGGCTGGAGCCCTTGCTATGCCATGTCCTGGCTGGGCGACCGTGGCTGAATTGCTCAGCCTCTCTGTGCCCTAATAACGCCTGGCCTGTAGGCTGTGGCTTGCAGACCAGGTAATGGGCATACACCTGGAGAGGTGCCCAGCCCTGGAAGGTGCTCACTGAGTGTCCCACGTCGGTTGGGAAGCCCACTGGGGTGGGGCCCATGGGCTTCGCTAAAGGTCAGTCTGGCTTCTAGGCAAGGGCCTTCCTGGGGGCTGCCTCTCTGGGTGCACCAGACTGGAGGACAGGACTATCCTGGCAGCTAATTCTGCCTGAGTGTTCATGGCTGCCTGGAACTCGACTGCAAGAGATCCAAGAGATCCAGGTTGTCCCCCCTGCCCAGTGAGGAAGGGTGTGGATGCTGGCTCAGGGCAGAATGTGGCAGAGCGGGGAGGTGGCTCACATGCCACATGTCAGCTGTACCCAGGTGGACAACACAGGCCTCGACCTCCACCGGGTGGGCCTGGGCGCCTGCTCCTGGCCAGAGCCTGGATGGCCTCAGGGATTTGGAAGTGGGCTGGTGTGCCGGTTAGGGACATGAGTGCAGTCCTGTAGAGCTCCGAGCTCCTTTCCTTCATGATCGCCAAGGGCTGAGCCCCAACACTCTGCCAGCCCAGTTTCACACTGGCGGTACGAAATGAAGAAATGAAGGCGAGCAGGTGCTCTTGGCTTGGTCTGACTCACATATCTGAAGTTTCCAGATCAGTGGAGCGGTGTCTGAGGTTCTGCCTGTGCCTGGCCAACTCAGAGAAAAGAGCTGGAAGCGGACTGCAGCCCACATCGGGCCCTCAAATACCCACCAGCGCCACGCCCCGAGCAAAACGTGGAGACGTGTGCGGCAGAGAGGAAAGGTGGAGGTGGGCGGTGGGCGGTGGGGACAGATGATGGGGCTCTGTCTGGCATCTGCTGCCCACTAGCCTGGCGCCTGGGCCCGTCTCGAGTGCCTCACGCACCTCTGCTTCCTCCGGTTCCAGACCATCTGGCGCAGTAACGCCCGCCTGGTCTGCGCGCACCTGTGACCAGGCAGGTACTGCCGTGGCAGGGTGGTTAAGGGCCCCGGCTCTGGGGCCACGCTGCCTGGGGCTCAGATCCTCGCTTCTCTCCTCGTCACCTAGTCTGATGCCACGTGAGGTTCTTGATGTTTCTGTGCCTCAGTTTCCTTATCTGTAAGATGGACAGAGCAGCATCGGGGCTGTCTGCGGTGGTAAATGTCAGCACACACGAGGTCCTCGGACACAACTGCTCTTAACGGGCGACGAGCACTGGAGGTCCGTGAACTGTTCCAGGAGGCACTTGCTATACCCCTCACCCCTTCCTTCTTCTCTTTTTTCTTCCTTTTTAGGCTGACAAACGGTACAAAATGCTATAACCT